TTTATTTATTAGTTTAAGTAAATGCATGGGGACCGCACTACACGCAAACAAAACCGAAAAGACAAAAATGCGGACAAAACACAGACTACATAGTATTGCAAGCAACGAACAACAAAAATATCAAATCAAATAAATGGTTCCATGGCCAGCCGTAAGAGTCCACGGCGCTGTATATACAGTCCCGGTCGTGTAATCTATAATCAGTTAATACTTATCGTTGCGTTATCTGATAGGCTTTATTTCTTCAATATAGTTTTTTGATTGCCACGGAATTCCATTTGCCGCCTTTTATGTTTCCTACTTGTATAATTGACATAAATATCCTACACTTGGATAATTGACATAAATATCCTACTTGGATAATTGACATAAATATCCTACACTTGGATAATTGACATAAATATCCTACTTGTATAATTGACATAAATATCCTACTTGTATAATTGACATAAATATCCTACTTCTATACTTGACATAAATATCATACTTGGATAATTGGCATAAATATCATACTTGGATAATCAACATAAATATATTAACACTTGTGGAGAGATTCTCTATTATATCCCTATATATATATCATATAATAATTACAGATTGGGGAAGAGGATAGCCCTTTAATACTGTATATCTGGGGTAGTATTGATCAGGAATGTATTATTACATATATTGAAGGCGAAGATTTCGAAAGAAAATATCCTTTAAGAAAGCCTCCATTGTTTATTTTAGTGACAATGCAATCACTTGTTAGTTTTTAACGAAGTTATTATCTTTGTTTAGAAAGGGGATTATCCAAGTCGCTACTTTTAGGTTAAAACATTTAAAATAGACTGTACATGTAAACTATAGGTAGTACAGCACAACTCCCCAGAAAACCACACAGCATACATCAGTATACGGACATACCATTAGGACAGATAATCCTATAAGTCCATTACAATGACATACAGATAATGTAAAATTAAATGCCGGATTTAACATGAAATGTCAAGTCAAATACACAACCACATGACACCCCCCTCTCAGATGTGTCCAGTTACAAGTGGTAAGCCTATCAGGTGTTGTTAACGTAAACGTAAGCATACATGTACGTTGCCCCTTAGGCCTACAGTAAGATATACCAATATTTAAATTTTAAAAAAAAATATCAGTTTCAAAATGCTTAATTTAAAAAAGACAAGTTGTATAATAAATGTATAATATTTTTCTGTTATACGGTGCTCTATATCTAGAATTTAATTAATCAGTGGTGTTATTCCTGATTCTATTAATTATTGGTACACATAACTTTTTATTGCTATATGATAAATTATAATTTCGGGGAATACACAATGTGTGGTGTTTATATAAATAAAATGTCTGCAGATTCCAAGGAAAGAGTTAGTAAAATATGAGGAGTCATTTTGTCCATTCAACATATAAAACACTACCTCTAGCCGAAATAGAAATAATGATCTTATCAGTGACTTGGATGTCTCGCGGTCCTTTAAAGGGTGAAGTGACCCAGATTAAAGACAAAGGGTGAGCCACAGATTAAACTGATACATGTATCAGTGGCTAAAGTTTCAGAATATCGGATCAAGGGTTTAAACATACGAATAGTTAATGCGGACGTTAAATAATGCTATTTCATAGAAACGACATGCGTAATTATCTACTCTTGTATGCGACTCATTTTGTCAATAAGTGTATTTGTATAATCTTCGAAATATGATCCGATAAAATAATCATATATGTAATTCAAACTATATATCCGGGTGTATATAAAAGCTTTGCATTAGTCGACCAATTATTTATTGTATTAGATGTTTGTGCGTCTTATGTTGAATAGAGGGCCACGGGGGCTAAGTGGGTAGGACGCTGGCTCGCCAGCCTGGAGATCGGGTATTCGACCCCTGCATTGGCCGAAAAAGTTCATCCAGATTTTCCGGCGTGATTCCCCCTTGTCAGTGATGCAGGACGGAGGGCCTGACAAGGACAGCTGTCTAGTCGTTCGGATGGGACGAAAAAAGAGGTCCCGTGTACACATTAGCGTGCACGTAAAAGATCCCTTGACAGTTGGAATTCGATATAAGAGTAGACCGTAGTCCCGCTGTCCGGGCAAAGTTTCCCTCATAGCACACTGTATGGCGTATGCCGTCTTCATCAGCCCAATTCGGAGGTGAACGGTAGGACGTCAAACCCCATTTCATTTCATTTCATTTTATATGTTGGATATTTTTAAAAGTTATCTATGCGTGAACAGTAAATTTTGCGTTAAAATTTCACAATACCCATACGAATTTGAAACCTCCAACAAATAAACCATCAAATAAAATATAAAACAAAAATTTATATATGTTAAATGGAAGCATATAATATTTTAAATGGATATTATATGATGAGTTGCATGATGATATGAAGTGCCGGGGGGTAAACGGTTATCTATATAGTAAAAATATAGCTGTAAGGTAACATGGATTATCACAGTTATAGAGGGTCATCAACGTGTGTTAAATACCTATCCATGTTGATCAATGATAGATAGTTTCAATCACTACCATCCATGGCGGTCATGTTTACTAGTATATTGAACTAAGTTTATATTTTTAAATTTATAATTTATATGCCTGTTTCTCGTAAGAGAGTACAAAGGACATATAATTACCACAAACGTACGATCATTTTTTATTCAGAATTGTGATTTTATGTTTTCTACCTATGTATTCGATACTCGTCTCTACCAATGGTTAACATAATGGGTTTTATTTTATAAGGGACCCGTCTTTAATATAATGTAAAAAGTGGAAACGTTCTGGCGGGAACTGATACAAAATGTAATCTTATATTCAGTGTCGTAATATGTCATTGATTTGTAATATTTATATTATCATTTGTATTATACATCTTTTTTTGTTCAATTTGACGTCTAACTATGATAATTCCTTTCGAAGAACTAGATATTTGATTTATTGTGAAAAAGTCAGAAAAGCTAACCGGACATATATTCTAGATATACCTGTTATAAATGATATTTTATATGATTTATGACAAATAATCAGCTACAGGCTATATTTTATATACTTAATTACATACGCGAATGTCACATTAATAAATTAATACTAATTAGTTACATAAAAATAAGATGAACCCTAAAATGTTTGTGTTAACAGCATAGATATTGGCTATATTTGCTGTTTGAGCGTCTCGCCAGGTATAAATGTCTGTAGAGAAAGTTACTGGAATGGAATGGGTTTAAAGTCATAAAAAACACATTGATCATTTTGAGACAAACTATAGCTATCGTTGTTTTTATTTCTGCTCTTACATGCGGGATGCTAGGTAGGAGAATTTTGCCCAGACAGCAGCCTTTCAGGCTACTTTTCTTCGATCTCCTTCTGGTCCATGTTCTTTTACATGCATGTCAATGTATACACAGAAGAACCCCGGCTTTTTAGCTCTTTCGGACGACTAGACGCACTTTCCTTGTCAACCCCGGGTTTGAAGATTTACGAAAGTGACATTCTAGTCTAGAGTACAGGACGGTTGGATGGCCGAATGTTTAGCGCGTGCGCGTTTAAGGTCTGTCATTGAATCAACTAGCGTGGTTTCGATTCCCCGGTTGTACGTGACAAGGAATATGGTCACCCGTCCAACCTCGTGGGTTTTCTCCGGGTCCTCCAGTTTCCTCCTACAACTAAAGACCCGTAAGCGAATAAGCTTTATAGAAAATGTCGGCCAATCCTCGCCATATTATGTTAATTTCCTAAGAAAATTTTGACCCGTTCCTGTGAGATAAACAACCTGCTAAGATCGCTATCGCACATAAATCAATCCTTATCAGATAGAATTTGAAGAAAAGTATATATACGGAAAATCCACTGTCTGCGAAAAATCCCCCTATCGCGTATAGGAAACAATGTTTATGCTTTTCTCAGACAAAAGGAAAATGATTGTTACACTTTGTAGACAAGTAAGTATTCGTATATTGTTCTAAGGTGTAACAAGTAACAGATTGGCCATGTACTTGACACGGTCAGTTTGTGTTAACAAATACAAGATATAGGCTACCCTACGTTGTATGCACTTTAGACAGGTAGATGTTTTCTGTATTGCGGGATATTGACAATAGTGATATCCATTGGCGGATAATTGATGCAAGTTGAATAGACGTAATTTTGAATTGAACCTTTTTATAAAGAATGAAATACTGACTTGTCTGTAATAAAAGGACAGACACATTATAACACCGCATCTTTAGGTAACAAAGACATGGCCTTGAGGTCTGTTAAAAATGTAGGTTCAATATCGTTTGACTGACCCAGGGAGTATAGTGTTCATATAAAAAAGGGTTTAAATGCTTGGTTGATTAACATCTTTATACAAAATTATAAAACATCTTTACCATAGTTAATACTCGAAATATATTTAATAATTAATGAGTCAGCTAATTAGATTTTGTACACATATTATAAACTATTCATGTGGCGGATTAATTTGACGCCATGATTTTCAATAATCACGAAACGATCAGTCAAGATTAAATTTGCTTCGTGAACATAGGAAAAATAAATAACCGCGTGTTAGTCTCAAAATGACAGAATACTGTGTTGATGAGACGTTAAACCCCAGTTCTTTACTTCTTACAATTACATTGAATCTGAATTAAATCCAATACTTCTAATATTTGATATATAATATTGATCGTCTTTACAAACATTATAAAGCTGTAGGCTAAGTGAAACCCGGGTCTTTATGGATAACGTCACGATGTTCTATATCTCGGTCATCATAGATGGAATGAACGAAATGCTGATTCGATAATAGCGTATTGGTACTATTGTCATTTATGGATTCCCAGGAAAAGTAGGTCTGTCAGGAACTATACAATTCTCAAGAATTATACAAGTGTTACCCGTGTACACGATTCATTGATTTAAACGTCGTGTTTATTATTTATGTTATTATGAACCAGATTAATATTGATTTTGAATAATATATTATGACATAAATCAACATACCTGGTGAAACGGCAACTAATGTAGAAACACATAACGTTGTTAATAAAATAATAACACTTTTCATTATTTTCGTTTAAAAATTGTCTGTAAAATATATAATTTGGTTCAAGTTGTATGTACACTGGTTCCTGTTATGATTTATATTAAATCGTATTTTTGTCGGCGATTCCTTTTATCAGCTGGTAAACAATAAAAAAACCAAAAACTGTCGTGAGTTATAGGTATATTTTTAGTCTGTGTCGTCACTGCTGCTATTCCTCCGTTCAGCTTGAAAGATTATATTGAAACGTTTGTCCCTGATGACACAGTATTAGTGAACACTCATAGCGCTACGCCTGGTCACCCAAGCATAAACGGGATCTTCCTATTTCATTATTAACACGTACGTCATATCAAACCCGACTACCAAATTTTCAAAGTCGCCCCGATCTTCCATACTATGATAGCGGGCAAGTTTTCCAAGCACCTGTCGTACTCTCGATTATTGAGTACATATAACTGTTTGCATATACACAGACCGGCGATATACCTGTATATATGCGTTTACCTATGGGAAATGTCTGGTTAGTTTTGACTATATTAACGGTTGTTGAGTAAACAATAGTCACGTGATTCTAGTTTCATAATCGAGGAAAGTGACGAAGCAAAGTCTCAACCACATAGTAAAATGTCAAACACGATCTCATAATTATTGACTTTTATTTACCGTCCTCTAAAGAGCTTTGTTCAGTCATTCCAACATTTTCGTCAATATTTGGTTGTCACTTTATGGGTCTAGTCTACATCGCAATTTTAATTGAAAATAGGGACAGATCAGTTTCCATAGTAACCTGATCTGCCTATAAATATGACTCAGCATCACGGATCTACATTTTTTTGGCAATATTTTAAAAATCATAGACATTATGCGCGTTACCCTATTTTCTATACAACTGAACACAATTTAGTATAATCTGTTGAAACGGTAGACCGACTTTCATCCATGCACTCTTGATTATCATTCTAACTTAAATATGTGGTAGAACGTCCTACTATCCTGTCCCGGCGGGCATACACGATACAATGTGTTAGAGGGTTATTTTGCCCGGACAGCGGCTCTACGACCTGCTCTTATATAGAATTCCAAATGTCATGGGGTATTTTACGTGCATACCAATGTGTACACGGCACCCGAACGACTATACGTTGCTCCACCCCGAAAAACCCCGATGAACTTCCTCGGCCAATACCGGGAACGAACACGGGAACTCCAAGTTAGCAAGCTGGGGATGGTCAAATGGTTAACGTGTGCGCGTTACATGGTCTGTCATTGAGTCAAGTGACATGGTTTCGATTCCCCGCTTGTACGTGACAAGGAGTAGAGTCGCCTGTCCAACCTCGTGGGTTTACTTCGGTTTCCCCCCACTGCTAGAGATCTCTACGCGCAAGCGATTTGTTGAAATAAAATTAAACCATAAGTTAGTCCCGAAATGACCTGGTTTGTTTCGAGTGGACATTAAACCCCATTTCTCTCTCTCTAGTCCAATGCCGGATATTAAGGGAAAAGTGACTGGTTTGCATCCCGGGGTCCCAATATTAAAGGGGTCGCCAAGTTAGTTCTAAAATATATAATTTTATGATTTTATTTATAATGTGTATATTTATGTCAAATAAATCTATCTATCTACCCTACCATACTGATTTGTGTTAGTGTGACGAACAGTGACCAGACTATGGCCCCTTTTCACTGTTTGATGCAAGGGGCCCAGTGGCATTTTCAGCCAAGGGCCTCATGCAAGCTTAATCCGGTATACCTGTACGGCGATTGTAATTGAGTCTTTGTCATATTAAACATAGTGGAATTCCATGTACTCAATTTGTCAGTCAATAAATTGATGACTATCTTTGCTTAAGACGATATAACGCTAACCAATGCATGTCCGAGAAGAATCTAGGAATTGTATCGTCATATCAAAAATCGAAATCCGTTTATCGATGTGTAATGGTGAGAGTTTCATATTGATCGTACCCCAGAGTCGTAAGGGTTTCTTAAGAGTGTCACCTCAAAAAGAAGAACAAGAAAATGAATAATTGTTTGGAACCTGTTATTGACTCAAAAATGATTTTCTTCTTTTACAAAACCAGTTCTTAACTACATGTATATAATTTTCTCACAGATAAGCTGATTTGCGCAACTATTCATAGCTTTTGACTTTGTAGATGTATTGATATGGAAATAATTTACGAATTGTTTTGGGAAAAATATGCACGTTTTAATCTGTTCATTGTAAGAAAAAACCAATCTGAAAAACCCGTAGATAGCATCATTGTTGCTGAAGTTTTTGAAACTTGTATACTTTAAGTTAACAGTGTGATGAACCCCACGGAATGAGTCAGACACTCAGACACTCTGTATTAACTTACTGGTGGAATTTTAATTATTTTACGTATTGATCTTTTCAAACACATTACAAACCTACGAAGATTCGTTTTAACATAGTATCACCATTTGTGTCGGATTAATGACAAGCGTCACAACAAATTTATGACTCGATGACACATTCCAGTGAAACACATGGGAGCAGAGGGTAGTTTTTTTTAATTATTGCGGGTGTGCCGTGACCATGTTTTTGCTGTACACTAACAAGAATTTATTATATCTTAAGCCATTAGCTCGCTTTCAAATAGATAATCACCCTGGTCCGATGAAACTGCTATTGTTATCACGTCTTTGTTTGAGTTACATTAGAAACGTATTACATACTTTACATAATATTATGTACGCTCATTAAATCTATGGTATCCCAAATTAGGATATAAACCCAGAAATCCATAAACAATGTGTTAACAAACCGTATTTGTATTATTTAGGTATTCAGTATGAGAACAAGTGACAAAATAACCCAAGGGTTGCAGTCACATCGTCAATGGCAAAATAAGGGCATATTCTCAAAAAATTGCGGGGCGCATTGTATTTCGAACTCTTACGCCTCTGTATCAACGAAGCATTTAGTCTTTGGGAATGATAAAAATAATGTAATAGTGCCAGTTACAATTAAAATGTTGGATGATATGAAAAAAAATACATAAGTAAATGGAACTCGAATGAAAATATAGGTGGAACAAACGTTATAATCTACACTCAATTCCGTGACGTCTTTAGCGGTCAGTGTATGGATCCCTCCATCCGTTAACAATTCCTGTCGGGATTGTTGAGGAAGACGATTGTTGTCATCGAAACATTGATTGTAAGGCTAGCCTCTACAGGGTGGAGTTTTTGAGACTTTTTTTTAAAAAAAAACAAAACAAAAAAACATGCCTGGATTGTTGCTTGGTACAATGGGATTTTCGCAGAGCTAGTTTTTTTGTTTTTACCCCCCAGATTTTTTTGGCTAGGCATCCACCCTCTAATGACCGAGAGGGAAAGTCTTACAGGGGACGGTTTAGACGGCTGATTAACTTGATCGATTTGGTAAATTTGTTAATGTGGTGGTACTGATTGAAGTCAACTTGATCGGAATCATAGCTACACCTTATGAGGGTTGGCTGAAAAGTTCTGAGTACGAAGTGGTTTCCATTTATTCTTCTACAAAGTCCCCTTCGAGGTGTACACACTTTTGTCAGCGATGTTGCAAGGCCTGGTTGCTGGCCAGTCACCCTAAAAAAAAGTCGTTCACAGCTGACATGAAGTCATCATTACTACGAAAATGACGACCGGCTAGTTCCTTTTTGATTTTTGGAAACAAATCTCGCCAAAAAATTACGCTGGCGCGCTTAAATTCCACTTCTTTACTGTGGAAAAGGAAGGGGCATTATCCTGTAAAGGGGAGACCATGTCGGCATGTATCTGTGTTGAGGTTAGTCCTTTCAGTTGCAGGTACTTGATAACTGCCCTACATCCAGTTTTGTACATTTCTGGCGATTTCAATGGATACGATTACGGTCTGGTACGAAAACAATAATCTCACTACAGTTGCAGATATTTTGTCTTTGAGGCAAGATAGCATAAGTGCGGACAGTTGCTGCAATAGAAATGTCGGTCTAGACGTATATTATCACCGAAAGAAAAAGTGCCAATCTGAAATCCGTGCGCAAATGGGTAAAATTGGCCAAAATCCAAAATGGTCGCCGGTTTTGGCTTGTAAATTCCATTTTCCACCCAATTATCATAACATGATCGAGTTTGGTATCAAAATATACGTTTTTCGGGAAACTAAATCCATTTCCATAAATATTTTTGGTGATAGGTGTTACCGCTGAGTCAATATTGGGGGTTATTCAAGATGTCGGTCAGTTGTGGCGTGAAAATTCGAATTTTATGTTGCGGATTTATTTCACAAAATGATTCAAATGTTGAGACACATATGGATACAGTATCGCCTGTTTGTCAGCTATACAGTGAACCATTTGATATCTGCCCTATCCGAAAATGTGCCCTCGAATTTCGACATAGTTACCTTACTGACACAAGGAAATGCCCACCCTAATGAAAACATTGTGCCCCTTTTCTGCTGCCCTTCCCTTGTTCCAACCAAACCCAGAGATATTAAAAGCCAATCGCACTCAATGTACGTACAAAATATGTCCGTTTTTAATTGATGATGTAAGGGCCCTAATGCAAGCTTAATCAGACCCTTGCCTCCACGGATTACATCCAGAATAGATTTCACAGCCGGATTAATATTTCCATAACATTCAGAATCAATTAATTTGCAACACGGGCGACGGGAACGTTTCGAATTTTCCCGCCAAAACTGACCGCTATCTGGTATTATTTTCCAATATTGACTCCACGGTAACTAATCACCAAAATGTGTATGGAAATGGACCCCGAAAGGATATATTTTGATACCAAACTCGATCAACTGGATAAGAATTGGCATTTTCCAGTCAAAACGGATTTCGGACGGACTTTTTTTGAGTGATAATATACGTCTAGACCGACCATAAACCGTGGTCGGCATTTCTATAGCAGCAACTGGTGCGAAATTGGGTTAAAATGTCTAGACTAGTGTGTAAGGGCGCACTCCAAATGCCACTTTCGTAGGCTACTTAGTATTGCAGATGTGTTTAAGATATTAAAAAAGTAATTATTGGCCGCAAAAAGTGTATTATATATGGTTTGAGTTATTTTATAATCTTTTTTAAAACAGAAAACGGGACCCATACTTGTCCAGCACAGAAAACCTGTACGCAATTACGTTACAGACAGACCATAGGTTTATGGTTAGATTTTTAAATTAACGACTATTAATTCGAATGACTTTATATAAGCATTTTAAAAGAATGAATAATGTCGCCATTCAATGTCATATTACGCGGATATTTTCTTGGCCAACACAATACGGTATAGAATAATATGTATATCAGTATTGAATCACCGAGTTTTAATAGAATATGAGTAACTAAAAGTCATACACTAAAAGGGGACGGTCACGATATTTTCTATTGACAACGCTATGTTAATATAAAGTGATCTACTTACTTGTGATCTACATCTACTCAATGCGAAATTTCTTTTTCATTTTATTGCGTTATGTATAAAGTTGATATGCATATTA